AATACATGGACAGACAAACATTTACCAATGTTACGATACGTAGACAAACATGATAAACATTGACTAATGTGACATATATGAACAATTATGACACAAATCATAAATGACAATACATGGACAGACAAACATTTACCAATGTTACGATACGTAGACAAACATGATAAACATTGACTAATGTGACATATATGAATAATTATGACACAAATTATAAGTGACAATACATGGACAGACAAACATTAACCAATGTTACGATACGTAGACAAATATGACAAACATTGACTAATGTGACATATATGAACAATTATGACACAAATCATAAATGACAATACATGGACAGGCAAACATTTACCAATGTTACGATACGTAGACAAATATGACAAACATTGACTAATGTGACATATATGAACAATTATGACACAAATCATAAATGACAATACATGGACAGACACACATTAATCAATGTTACGATATGTAGACAAACATGATAAACATTGACTAATGTGACATATATGAACAATTATGACACAAATTATAAATGACAATACATGGACAGACAAACATTAACCAATGTTACGATATGTAGACAAATATGACAAACATTGACTAATGTGACATATATGAACAATTATGACACAAATCATAAATGACAATACATGGACAGACACACATTAATCAATGTTACGATATGTAGACAAACATGATAAACATTGACTAATGTGACATATATGAACAATTATGACACAAATCATAAATGACAATACATGGACAGACAAACATTAACCAATGTTACGATACATGAACAAACATGATAAACATTTACTAATGTGACATATAAGAACAATTATGACACAAATCATAAATGACAATACATGGACTGAAAAAATTTACTAATGTTACGATACATGGACAAACATGATAAACATTTACTAATGTGACATATAAGAACAATTATGACACAAATCATAAATGACAATACATGGACAGACAAACATTAACCAATGTTACGATACATGGACAAACATGATAAACATTGACTAATGTGACATATATGAACAATTATGACACAAATCGTAAATGACAATACATGGACCGACAAACATTTACCAATGTTACGATACATGAACAAACATGATAAACATTGACTAATGTGACATATAAGACTAATTATAACACAAATATGACAATACATGCACCGTCAAACATTGACTAATATGACATAAGAATAGTTAAACACATATATGACAAACATTGACTAATATGACATATAAGATTAACACAAATATGACAATATATGAACAAACATTGACTAATGTGATACAAATAAGAACAATTACGACACAAATCATAAATGACAATACATGGACAGACAAACATTTACCAATGTTACGATACATGAACAAACATGATAAACATTGACTAATGTGACATATATGAACAATTACGACACAAATCATAAATGACAATACATGGACCGACAAACATTTACCAATGTTATGATACATGGACAAATATGACAAACATTGACTAATGTGACACATAGAACAATTATAACACAAATATGACAATACATGGACAAACATGACAAACATTGACTAATGTGACATACAAGACTAATTATAACACAGATAAAAAATGACAAAACATGGACAAACATGATTTACACTTGCTAATGTGACATAAAAGAACAATTATGACATAAATCAAATATAATGAACAAACATAATATATATATATATGAACAAAATAAAACACCACATAACTTATATAAAAAAAACCTGTTAAAACTTAACTTACATAGACAGACAAGACACATTGCATAGACTGTACAATACAACAACAAAAAGTGTAACAAAAATGAAGAACAGAAACTATTGTTGTGTCATAAAAAGCAGATATAAGGAATAGGTAAACATTAGTTGCATAGAAAGAATGTAAATATACACTTATATGAAAGAAATACATTGATTAAACAGACACACTTGATACAAAAACAAAACACTTAGGTTAATTATAATTTAATGTGGTAAAACAAAGACTGCCACAAAACAAAAACAAATAACAGACATAAACAAAACATAGACAACTAAACACAACATTAACATACATTGCAAACATAACAAAACAAAACAAAACAAAACAAAAAGTGGAACATAGATGAACATATTGAAAATCATTTAGATGCTTAAACAAAAATAAAGACATTATTATGAGCAAAAGAGTTTTACTTTATTGGGATTTTGAAAAAAAAAGGGAGTAGCAAGTTAGAATCAGTGAGCTTAATGTTAGCAAAGTTTAATTAAATAAAAGTTTTAAAAAATGTTTAAATTTTTGAACATTTTACATTTGAAATTATTTATGCATAATCTGGACTAAAAGACCTTGTTGTCATACTCCGAGACAAATTCTTCATACTTTCAGCCATTTTCTCAAATTCACCCCATTTTTGAGTTTGTAAACTTGTCTCCAACACTGACTTCCTCTCCATGTTATCTAAACGGCCAGTAAGGTCACCAAAATGAGCCCTTAATTTCATATTATCATCTTCTTTCTCTCGCAACTGAAAACGAAAAAAAAAAAAATTCATGATGAAAGAATGTTCAAGTACAATGTTCAAAATATAATTTTACAAGACATGACGTGACAATATTAGTGACATGCCTACACATACATGATTAGCTTGGAAGCGCATGGGATTAGTTTCTCCAATGTACCTGCAACAGAGGCGGCGACACTAAATTTTGCATGGAGGGGCAAGATCTGCTCACCATCCCTTGCACCGAAGTTGCGACCTTCCTTGGGGGGTCCAGGGCATGCTCCCCCTTAAAAATTTTGGAATCTAGACCCTCTGAAATGCTATTTCCTGCATTTTTAGAGGGGTGCCCCCCCACATTTTTTCGAGGGTGGTGATTTCGAGCCAACCACCCACCAACCCACCACAACCGCCGCCATTGTGCAAGTCAAATTGTCATAAAATATGTAAAAATTCACCAATAGAATTACTTTTAAAGTTAGTAAATGGTACCAAAATGTCCTTAAAATTGTAAATATATTGATTTCCTAAAAATTAGCATAATTATTTAGCGATGGCTATAAATTGTTGGTAAACAGTATTCAAATAACAACACTTCAATATGCAAATTAACTAATACAAACCATATGTTAAAAATCCTGTGTTTTTCACCGTAAATGACTTTTAAGATACATACCTGACTTTGTAACTCAGCAACGTGATCAACCAATAGCATTTTGTCTCTTCTAAGTTGTGCATTCTCAGCATCTGTTGTTGCGTGCATGCCTTCCAGTTCAGATAGTTTACTACGTATTGTGTTAGAGCTTAACGACTGACTTGAAGATATTTGCTCTTGTTTTGAAAGCTGTAGAGAAAAAATATTGAATCCTGTAAAACAATTTATTTTCACTATTTTGATGTTTTGAGAATATTCACTGGGTTTTAAGTTCATGAATGAAACAATGAGTTCTAATGTTATTCTACATGTTCAAGTGGACTTAATTTAGTGGTTCATGTTTACAACTGAAAATAGCGAAATCAAAACCCAGTGAATAATTGATGCTTTTACAGTACCAGTATATTTGACATGATCAATGCATACACATATAAGGGAAGAGAAATTAAGTACTGTAAAATACTGTAGAATACTTTATTTTCGCTTGGAATTTATTTTCGCTATTTTCGCTTTAGGGATGATTCCGTGAAAATAAAATCCAGCGAATATACTTTTTTTCCTATATTTCACATTAAACTCATGGAAAATCAGTGAAAATAAATTCCATACAAAACGCCCAAAAAGCCTTTTTCAGCAAAAATTAATTCCAGCGAATATAAAGCATTCCACAGTACTTTATTTTAAGCTGGAATTAATTTCCACTGAAAAAACATTTTGGGTGTTTTGTATGGAATTAATTTTCACAGATTTTTTACAAGTTCTACAAGTTGAATGTAAAATATACTGAATCATTAGCAGAACCATCAGCTAAAATAGCAAAAATTAATTCCAAGCAAAAATAAAGTATTTTACAGTATTAAAAATCTCCTGTTCAAAACGGAATAGTATGACTACTGTAAACTGAAATTTTCACTGCTGGAAATTTTCACAATTTGAGAATTATATGCATTTGTAAAGACAAAATTTTGTAGGACCCATGATGACTCATGAATTTCACAATAATTTATCACTCAAAGATGTTTAAAGTATATCAAGATCCAATGTGGCAGCTCTGACAAAAGTGTATATTGTGGGTCCCATGCAACATATTAATGGTCTTAATGGCTACTTTTCTGTGGGATAGGCCTTGCTTTTAAATTCTGTCCATTAATGCTGAATCACTTATGTGACACAATGCATTGTAGTCGAATATAAATGAAATTCATCACAGAACAGAACAGAAACCCAGGATGCAACTCTGTATGAAATAGACCATACCTGTTCCATATAGTACTTTATTCTCTCCCGTTCTTGTCTCAACTGCTCTTGAACTTGGTTTAACTCAAACTGTAACTGTCTTTCTTTGTCCTTAGTATTTACCAAGTCACTGATATCAGCTGCTCTCTTGGTATCTCTGTCTTCTCGCAACGATCGCTCCTGCAACAGAAAAATAACATATAAAGATAGAGAAAGTATAAAGATAGAGTTTCTTGTAAAAAAATTTATTTCAATTTCTCCTAATGTGAAGACTTGCTTCTTATCAGACAATGCCCTCTATATTTGTTTAACAAAGAATATTATTACTGTAAAATACTTTATTTTAGCTGGAATTAATTTTCGCTGATAAGGCCATATGGGTGTTTTGTATGGAATTTATTTTCACTGATTTTTGATGAGTTGTATGAGAAATATAAGAAAAAAGTTATATTCACTAGATTTTATTTTCACTGAATCATTCCTTCAGCGAAAATAGCGAAAATTAATTCCAAGCGAAAATAAAATATTTTACAGTATAATGACATAACAAATTTCTGTAAAAATCAGACATTACTGCAAATTTTTGAACTTCAGAAACATATATGTTATATGCCAGTAATCATTCATGTCTACTATCATCAAACTATCACGCAGATTGCGCTAATCCCATATTCTGATTTCTGGACCCCCAATATTAGTATATTATATTTATTGACACAACACTGACTTAGGAAAGTACAACAGTAAGGTCACTAAAACTACAGAACAGAGAAAAAAAAAGAGTGCAACAAAATCAAAAAAAAATAACTAGGAATTATAAGGAAAAAAAATGACATATAAATATAAAATAGTGATAATAAAGTTAAAATGAATCAAAATACACACTTAGAATAGAGATCACATTATGAGATGAAATTCGTCTTCAATTTTGAGCGTATTACACAAGTCACAAGTTCTCCAGTCAGCTTGCCTGACTATTTATAGTTTGTTCTCGTATTAATTAGAGAGGGGATGCAACTACTTGTAAGCACAAAATGGCGTTCTTATTTGTACATAGAATAAATATTGCAAGAAAATGCTAACGCAATCCATACTATCATGTCAAAATCAAATGATTATATGTATATTATTCCGACAATTACATGCACCTCATCAGAAATTTGAATATTTGTACATACCCTGTCCAGTTGTTTTTGTAATTCTAAGACCTGAGCACCAAGCAATGCATTCTCTTTAACCAAGCCACCACAGTCATCAGACATCTGAAAACAAATTCAAAATTTATCATCAAGTATCGGTCCAATTATTTCTTTATCACAGTGCAAGCACATAATAAACTGGACATGCATCTTTTGTTTATTTGCCATGTATGGAAAAATCCATAAAAAACAAAAATATTTTTTTTCCCCACATGTATATTTTCAGACGAGTAGTTTTAATTGTTACTACCGATACCTTCTTGTAATTTGTCCATTTTATCTACAAGCTGGTTTATCATTAATAGTTCTGAGTAAAATGTAGTCAGACCTATAAGATGTTTCCTGACCACTTATTCATTTGGTTGAATATTTCATTAAAGGGCAGAGGTCATCGATATAGGACTCATGGACACGTACACAACACATGTAAAATACATTGTTTGTTTACATAAATGTTGAAGACGTGCTAAGCGTCGACCACTGCCCTTTAAATTCCAGCCTTGGCAGCACAATAATAATAATAATACCAGTACTGCTTATAAAGGTTAATCTAATATAAATAATATATATTATCTGAAAGTGGAAATGACAAACGTAAATAAAACAATTAACTAAATATTACCTTGTTTCTAAGATAACGATCCTGATCTGCAGCTAGTTCTGTGTCTTTCAATTTCTGACGAAGCATTCGGATTTCTTCCTGCAAAATATCAAAACTTATACATAAATTATACATCCATATTTTTACATTTGACTTCAACAACAGAACTACTTTATGGGCGGAAGGTGACAAACAATGATGGAGAATGAAACCGACTTACTCTCATGTCTTTTGTGGCTTGGTCCTGCAGAACTGCAGTACTACTGTAATATTTATCTTCCATCTCTCGTAGTTGAGTTTGTACTTTCAACATTTCAGTTCTTTTCTCCTCCAGTGACATCTGGGTTGCCCTCAGCTGGTCATTCTTTTGTTCCAACTACAAAATAATGCTTGTTATGATTATGCTGAAATACCAGTATTGGACATTACTATAGAACGATAGCTGTATTATCGGTTATTATACATACAGATATATTTGCATTTATTGATTTAGTCAGTTTCTATTTAGTTGTAAGCACACTTATGGTTGCCGTTAAGTTCCATAGTGTGAGGGGGGGGGCAATCCAAGAAGTCAACAGCATGATTTTGGCTGTTCTATTTATAGAGTACACTCCCTACTGATATACCGGTAATTTCTACCTGTGTTCGTAATATCTGTAACTGGTTTTCTGCACTGGATAATGATATACTGCCTTTGTCAAGTTCTTCCCTAGCAGCCAAAATCTGGTGTTCTTTAGACGACAAGTCACGCCTTGCTGCGTCTTGCTGCTTTTTTAACATCACAATTTCCTCCACAAGTACTCTCTTCTCTCTCGTATAGGTTTCTTAAAAATGAAGAAAATAAGATTCATGTATTTTTTTTTATTACAGCAATGAACAATAGAGCCTAATAGACCATTTTCCGTTCACTGCGAGAATCACGCGTTATGCGTGAAATCGAACGTAAAAACAGGACAAACAAAGGTCATAGCGTCGTAGTGACGTCAAACATCGCATGGGATTCGACAAACGCGAAAGTATTTTGGGGACATTTCCATGCTTAATAATGTGCTGTCCACATTTGATGATAGGCAATTTCGATTAAGTAAGGGTATTCAGAAGCAATATTCCTCTGTCGAAAATCGGCCGGTCGGTGTGAGCTACGAAATAAGGAAATTCCAGTTCAAAATCAAATCGTTCGATTTTTGCGGCAGACGCTCAACGCGCGTCTTTCATGCATCTCGTGAGATCACGCAATTGTACGGAAAATCACCTATTGGAGACATGGAAGCCCTGCTCTTAACTTTAAGTTCACCACCGTTCCTTCTTTTCATCACAAATTCACAAAATAGTCCTGTTTATATGTATGTTTATACTTTTTGTGTAAAAACAGCACCCCCAGGGGTCCGACTTAAAGAATGATCTGGTACGCATGTCTGTGAAAGAAAATGCATTAAAATGGTGTTTTTTTAATGAAAAGTATATTAACGTGCGTTACGCGTTTAGGCTTACCATTTCAGTCAAAATAGACAAAAAGGGTGTCTTTTCCGGTACTGCCAACGTGATAAGGGTGGTTATTTTTTTAATGAGATTATCGTTTTTGTTATTGCTTTAAGGAATTCAATGATCGCAAAAACGAGGAAAACGTCTGGCCCCCTGGTTAACGACCCTCGATTACGAGCGATCACGGCATATGACCAACCCGTGCTTACACAGAAGGGTTAGAAAGCTCAAATATCGCGAGATGAGGCACAAGTTCAAGGTGCGTGATCTTTTAGCTTTCTAACAGTGAAAATAGTACGAAATTTTGACCTTTTCGTTTAGGGTCATTTTGAAAACCCCTTTCACAGACATGGGTTCAAGGTATTTCCGCAAGTCGGACCCCCGGGAACAGCACACAGGATATGAGTTTTGATATCGTCCCCATTTGATACATATTGAAAAGACACAGTCACAATCGTCACCTCTTATGTCTTCGTTATCATTACCTTCCAGTGTCCTAAATCTAGAATCAATTCGGTCTTTCTCTGTTGCAACCATGTCCAGATTGGAGTCCTTTCTTCTCATATCCAAATTCAAACCATCTATCTGATTCTGTAGTTCCTAAATATTTACAAAATCAAAAACTTTTAATAATTCCAACTGCATAATGAATAAAATACAGATTAAGACTATTAGAAAAAATAAATTCAAATCAATGTCTGGTGAACGGTGATCAATGTAAATAGTTAAATAACCAAACATGATCATTACAATTAAATTCTTTGAAAGTTTCTGTGTGCTACAAAATTTAGAATTTTTTAAAATTTTTGACAATTTGTCTGACAAGAAAAAAATTATATATAATCTCAAGATATTTTCTAGCTCTTAGGTCAACGTCAGCAGACACAAATGATTACAGCAAGAGTTTTGTATCAATCCAAACCATAATTACAAGTGTATACTGATGTCGACTTTAAATTTTGTGGGATTATATATTTGACACATGCATATGTCCACATCCATAGTGAAACAACATTGTGGTAATACGCAAGTTATGCATGTGATGTACATCTACACTGTGTCTGCATAGATGAATCAATCCTTATAACATATGTGCTGAACTTACCCTTATTTTTCTCAACATTTTTTCAGCTTCTTCTGTCATTCTTGGCTGCATCTCGGTAGCTTTCCTGGCTTGTTCGCGTGTGCAATGTGATGAAGGAAATAAACAATTGCATTGATCATGACAGGACTTTTTTGTGAATCCCATAGAGAGAAATACTGTCTGACAAATGCCACAATTATTATAAATACATTTGTCACTAAATGCTTGGTTTACTTATTTGTAAAGATGGAATAATATTATTGTTTTTATGATAACACACTGGTGACTTTTTAAGCACCATAGCATTTTTCTGTTTTTACGTATTTTTTCTATATTTGTTTGATAAGTTTGGACCAAATGGAGATAATTTCCTACTTGCTACGAGTCTTGATCAAAATTTTGAGAAAAATTGGTATAAAATTTGTAAATGATGCCAAAAGTTGACCTTGACACTCAAACAGTTAATTTGCCATGCCATGAACCATATAGATCCTGCATGTATGTAAAATGTATTGTTTCATTTAATATTCCAATTCTCCTTTTATATTTTAATTTATTATGCTTTCGTATTGTCTTCATTTGTATTTTGTCTTGCCATTTTGAATGTATCTGAAACTTTTTTGTATTTTTAAAAATCTAGATCCTAAACAAGGTAGGATTTCAATAAAGTTATTATTATTATTACATATGCTGTATTAAAAAAAACAATACATACTACAATAAAGATAAAAAAATTGTAAATTGTAGTGAGAAGCTAATAAAGCTTAGGGACAACATCAAAAGTTCAATGTAGGATAAAAAACTTAATTCCTTTAGTTTCCCCCACCCCCACCCCCTGAAACTTAATTGATAACTATTGATTATGGCATCAGACTACATTCACCATTAAATACAAATTGATAATCAGACAGTAGTATTGCATAGCAGTTGGTTGTCGGGTGGGTGTAGTAAAAAGACTTTACAAATGCACCAATAACAAAGAAAAACAAGCTTTATATCGGATTTGTACCTTTTACACTCGGACCAAACCATTTTCTATTTTTTTTTTTCATTTTCATTTTTCATTAGAAAAAAAAAAAAAACTACAAAATTTTTATACTCCAAGATTTTTTTGACTTCATTAAAAAATAAAATCATTTTTGTAGGATGGAAATTTTTTGAGGTCAAATCCCACACCCACCCGCCCCCAAACTAAAGCAAATAAGTTTTTTTATCTGACATCGATCTTTTGACATCGTCACTTACTGTTATGAACTGCTAAATGGCTTTCTAATAAATGTTTTCTAACTATTCATTGCTATTCCCTTGAAGGCAATAAGCAGTCTGACCGAATGTATGACAATAGCTAAGCCTGCACTTCAAATTTGACTGATTGAAGGCTATGCTGCATGAATGCTCATGAATATGGTAGCTTCTTAGCCCGAAGCTATAAAAGCTGTAAAATTAAAACATTAATTAAAATGAATTGAATTAATTGTAATAGCAATGTATCACTCAATTATATTATCACCACAGTTGCTATCAACCATATCAACACATTACCATGGTGACAATCATCGCGATGTCAAAGTACAAGATATATGGAATACAATTTTTCACAACTGCACTAGGTAATGTTTTAGAATTCGATGTACATGTACCATATTTGTTCTATTAGAAACACATCTCCAATAGATGTACATGTACCATATTTGTTCTATTAGAAACACATCTCCAATAGATGTACATGTACCATATTTGTTCTATTAGAAACACATCTCCAATAGATGTACATGTACCATATTTGTTCTATTAGAAACACATCTCCAATAGATGTACATCTATCCTATCAACCCACTACCCAATCCTTATTTCATGGGGGTCACTTCAGTCATGACATACTTGTCATTCCCTCAGTCTGGGCCAGGGATTTCATCCTGCCCCCCATTCAGTTTCTCAGTAGCCACTCTCCAGGCTACCCCTCACTTGCTCGGCCACCTTCACGGTCATGCACGACCTTTGGTGGCACAGTGACCTTCATCCCCTGGGCAGCATAGTGACCTTCAGCTACAAGGTCACTTCGTGGCCTTGACGTTGATCTCACTTATGCCCTTGGCCCTGGTAAGTTAGACTGAAGGGACCCCTTGCCCAATTTATAGTTTTATTAGAAATATGATTTTTTGTTTTTTGTAGAGTTAACTGTTTTTTTATTATTGCATAATTAGTAAGTTTTTTGGTTTGTATGTGTTGATTTTGTATGTGCTTTTT